AACGTCTCACCACAACTGTACATGTCTTTTGCACTTCCAGATATGACCAATTAGCTATAGATAATCAAAATATCCCTTCCAGCTGCTGCACAACCAAAGTCTGGTGGAAAATCCACACAGCTTAACCGTGGACACAATATTCCTGTAACACACATCTATCTGGAAGCACTTCACACTATAATGCAATAGGGTACGGCCTGTTGCACTGGAATTAGTATCACATCCTTCTTCTAAATCTAAGTTACTACATGCCTTCAAAGCCTGCACCCTTTGAAAGACACAAAGGGACAGAGTGGAGCTATTATTAGGCACGCACTGACATTGCAAGTTAAGTGATTTACAGAGATGGGAACTTAATGTGACACAAGTGATACATCTCCAGGCTACTTCTTAAAGTTACAGGAAGGCAACTAGAGCCTACACAATTCCAGATGTCTAATATCACTCTCGTTTTATAATCTTGGAACATCATACTACCAATACTACCTACTTATCAGGGGCTTTTGCAGCAACCATGGCTTTCATCTCAATCCATCTCAAAACTTAGATACTGGCAACCACCGCCACACTTGGAAGACCTGGAAAACTATTCGCCAGACATTCAGGTGTTCACACCCACCCACCCACCCACCCACACAAGTGTACATAAGTACACAAATCAGTCCAAATAAACTCACTGAAACAACAGCCATACCAAAGCAGCGTAAAGAAATCTTGCCACCTACCTTGCTGAGAAGAGCGGTAGGATCCCATGGGCCTCTGAGACATCATGCTGTTTCCTTGACTGCCCTGACCCATCATGCCCATAGCCTGCTGTCCCTGATAATGTTGCCCCCCAGCTTGGGCTGAGGAGTAGTGTGGTGTGGCAGACTGCTGGTGCATCATGGAGACTGTGGAGGAGGTGGGATTATTTGGGGGGAGGGGGAGATCTTGTACATTAATATATAGAGATAAACTTCATTTATAATGCTGATAAATTCTGCTTATGCTCCAGAATGCACAGCCTTCTGGAGCATAAGCAGAATTTCCAGATCGGAGCCTGACAGAAATGTGTATAGTTACACAAACAAACAAATGTAGAAGGAGGTCCAAGGCAATCAGGACACAGGGGGAAAGCCAAAAGGGATCCATAGCATACAGCAGTCAAGGGTCTTTTAAAAAAAATATCTTTAAAGAAATGCTTTCAAGATGCTGCTTTAAGTGTAAACAAAGCCAGCGAAGTCAGCGCATTAACAGAAGTGCGATAAATACACACGGACATCCAGGGAAAGAAGGGGTGCATCTCAAAAAGTAGGAGAAGTTAAACCTGAAGCAAAGGGAAGAAGGAGGGAGGCAGGACACCTCACTGATGAACTGAATGTGTTTCGTATTTGTCTGTTACACAGGAGGAAAATTTAAGATATGCATGCAAGCATATTTTTTATGCAAGCTCAAAAGGGGCACAGCTTCAGAGGTCATCATCCAACTGTTTTACTTATTTACCATGTACAGTATTTCACCCTGAAAACTTGAAAAGATTATTTTCATCATTCCCATCCTCTAAATGCCAAATCTTGTATAATACACATAAACAAGTAAAAAACAAGTACGGCATCTTGCATCTCGAGAGATGGTAACTCCTGACTATCAGATCATGATGGTTTAGAGACCAATTCCTGATGACTGGGCTTTACGATACCTGGCTCACCTTGGTTGGAATGCATGTTGAGGTTGCTGCGGGAGGAGGAAGAAGAGGATGAGGATGTGGAGGAAGAAGAGGAGGAAGAGCCATAACCAGGCCCAGGGCCCTGGATCATGCTGCCCTGGGAGGAGGGCGCAGCGTGGCTGTACCCAGGGACCGAGCTGCCATAGCTGCTTGCTGGCAGGCTGAGGGAGGTGGAGGGAATAGCCGACTGCACCTGACCAGATTGCTGCTGCATGGGGGCATGGCTGGGCCCTGACAACACACACGCACAGTCAGAGCAGCCACCACACATTCCCCTGTGGTGCCATATCATGTTAACCACGGCCCCACATTCAGTTCATCGTCACAGGAGACGTGCATGGTTGAACAAAGGTAGAGTAACGCATGTTAAGGATGTGTGTATATTTTTTCACAAGAAGAGGGAACATAGTAACATAACTGTGAAACAATCTGACTCATTGGCTGAACTTAAAACCACAGATACTTAAAGGCAATGAAGCAATATAGAAGTGCGGGCACTGTGGCAGACAAGACATGGTACTGTGTCTGCAGACAAACATGCAACTAAGTCAGAATCAGACGAGCAAGCAAGACACTGGACAGACAACAAAATCGGGAGGCATCTTTGGGCTGAAATAAGTGATTCAGGGCTTATCTGTAAAACTGTATAATGCAATTAACTCTCACCATTACTCATTTGGCTCTGCATCATTGATGTCGGGGGCAGTGCTGGTCCCATGTTGTCATTGAGGTTACTTTGAGCATGTCCCCCACTCTGGCCCATCCCTCCAGCACCCAAAGACATACTGGAAGTCGGAGGCTAAAGGTGTAGAGACGTAATATTTAAAGTAGTGGCAATCATAAATGATATGCAGTTCATTTTTTTTTACACTGTATTTATTTATTTTCTGTTTTCTATTAATGTTCTATTTTCCCAGTGGACACAGTGTATATATATATATATTATATTTCATAGTTGCTATTACTGGAGTCACAAATCACACTTACCGCAGGTAGTAATGACTGCATGTTCTGATTTGAATCAGCTATTGTGGCCAAGTAAACAAGATTTCTGTGCAGGATCTGCTGATACCTGGAAGAAGAAGAAGAAGAAAACCAGTCTTAATTGTGCTATGCTTTGATATTTAGCAGGTACTGGTCAGGGAGGAAAGAAAAAAACACTTACTGTGTGCATTCAGCCGTCTTGCCTTTGCTTTGGTAATCCATTATGCACTGTATTAAATGATGATTTTCATCCAGCATCTTTGGAAAATAATAAAACAACTTCATTCCACTGTATCTGAAGTCCTATAAGTGTATAGTAAATTATCAACTAACAAATACTCTATTAAAACAGTGCTGTGCTTGATTCTCAGAACTTTATCCAGCCCTTGACTGTTTTTTTCTGGGTCATCTTTTTCATTTTCTTTTTATATAACAGAGCCAAAAGAAGAACTCATTTTTCACTGTCTTTATTTAGGACGCCGTTTGGAAGTCTGGCTTTCAAGGATAGGGTTTACGTTTTACTTTCGCGCTAATCGGTTCAATCAAGGATAAAAGCGGTGCCCTAGGACATATACTGTAACACCTGCCTTCAATTTCAATCTATAGCCTACTTAATTAAACACCAGGGCAGAGCTGCTGCTTTGAGAATTCTTGTTAACCATCTTGCGAGGAAATATAAAGCTGATTTCCAATTTCTCACACTGAAATATTCCCATTCGTCTGAAAATATCTGCGAGGATGACAGACAGCATCACCAAGAAAGCAGAGATCCAGCCGGCGTTAAGCCGAGCGCTCGTCTACATCACCGCGATGGCTTTGTTTGGCTCGCACCTTCAATTGACTGTAACGTTACAATACCAGTTGCCATTTCTTTGATATTCACCACTGGCTACTTTCTCTGCACTGGAGGGGGATCACATACTCCCATGCTAGAATATCTAAATAGAAATGTCGCGACGTTTTAGGATATTTTTACCTTTTGAATGGTTTGCTGTGTCACCTCCCCTTTACTTCTGGGGCGCGCCGATGAAAACGCCACCGACATTTTGTCATATGGGAAATAAAAGAGCCGCTTTTATTCTAATATTTATTATCTCGAGCGCAGCCTTCTATTTGGTTACATAGTTTCTCCATTACTAGGAATAGGGGTACTGACCAAACCAGAGCCATGTCGCGATAGATGGAAAATTAGAAAACACTTGACTTATCTGAATGGCATTAAACAGAGGATTTCCCTTAAGCTATTATTTATTATCTGCGTGCAAATAATTACATGCATATAAAAGGATATGATGGTAAGGGACAAATCCCTCTCCCTCAGATTTTGGTATAGTCCAGGCAGTGAGTAGCCTACCACTTTCCCTCACTGTAGACGGGGTATCGTTTGATTCAAGAAAGCAGTCTGCTTGGAGCACACGCTGCCCAGTGCGCAAAAGCTTTAAGGATCAGCTGTAGCCAAAGTTGCTTTCAGCATTTCAGGAAATGTGGGAATCCCACCGTTCACTGTGGAGTGTTTACACTTTTTACAACAGCACTTGCCCCTCCAAGTAGTGAATCAGGGAACGTGTAATCTTATAATTCAGTGAGACATTTACTCTTTTTAAATTTTTATTTATTGCCAGTTTATATAATCGAATCTTGAATATATTGCAAACGTTGTTTAAAGGAGTGATCCTTCTTAAAAGGACAAAGAAACAGCCATAGAACACAGATACTATCCCAGATTTAGAATTAGGATTGTACAACTAAGAATTTTTAAATGCTTACTTGTGCAACAAAATGTCTTTTAGTCTCATAACAGGTGTATCAGCACATCCATTTTATTTACATTCAACTCATTCCCTTGATTATACCAAATTAAGTCTCAAGTCTGAAAGCTCGTTTAGTTCATTATTAATACTATGCAACATTGAATGGACAAATCTGATTAATACTCCCAAAAGGCAAAAGCAAGAATTTACAAATGTGCAAGTAGCAAACAAAAGTAGAAACTGAAGCATTCATGTTCCCCCCCCCCCCCCTTTTAAACAAAACAAAAACCTTTTGGAGTAAATTTTACCCACATTAAAAACAAGGTCAAATGTCAAAGAAATAATGTTAAACTTTTTAATGACAGACGTTTTGACTGGTTACAGCACAGCTGTAATAATGATGGCTTAGTTCCATCACGTATCCCAGTAAACAGACCGTAAACAAACATGCACAGCATAGCACCTCTTCCAAATGCAATACAGCCTTCACTATTGCCCTTATTATTTCTTTGCTGTGCTAAACATCAAAAGGTCTGTCAAGAAAAAGGGGGCAAGATTCTCACAGGGGATCCAGTACCTTCCACTCACTGTAAGAAACAGAAATAGGGTACGAAATCATTCAAGGTGGCTTTACTCTACTGCCTTTGTATGAAACTGATCTGTACAGCCGCCCAGTTGCATTTCTTTGAGTTAGACTCGAGCAGCACCTCGTCCTCTTCTGGTATATCCACCTCTGAATCCTTGGCCCCTCAGGAAACGCCCAGGGACACCAAAGGTCTCCAGATTGCGCTTTCGCTCCTCTGCCCACGTCAGTCTGAAACCATTGATGTACATAAATAGCCATGAGCACATATCTGTACAAAGACCAGCTTTTATGTAAGACAAAGAGAGTCAGCTGATTACCTGAGCCCATTATCAGATGAGATGTTGTCAAAGAAAGACTTTGCTTTGTCATAGTAGCACTTTGGACCAAAACGATCCTCCCCTGAAGTCAGCTGCAACCCCTCCGTTTCCCTTCCCTCAGAATTCCCATCTGAAAACAGAAGTACTGACAGTGGAAGGACAGACCAATTCCCTGGTTTTCAGCTATTGCATTTATTAAAAAAAAAAAAAGAAAAACCCACAACAACCACTAAAAATGTTTATATATAGGCCAGAGAGAAACATGGCATTAGAAGGATTATTTTACCTGAATGCAAATTTACTTCTATTTAAACATTAATTTTTGTCACCACACCTTTAACTCATTCAAACAGAGTTACATGAGAGCACAACTTCCATGAAAATGCCACAACATTAATAATGCATACCTTTAAATTGACAACATTCCTTCAAAGAGAATTAACTGACAAAGCAGGTGATTTAAAAAAAAAAAAAAAAAAAAAAAGAAAAATAAAGTGGTGCATTGTTGGCAACTTCAGCTGATAACCAACCTTTCAGAGTCAGCCTCTCCTGGAACTTCTCCTCAAGCGCCTCCTTAATGAATTGCGCGTTTGAGGAATCAAAATCAAAGTCCGTGTCAAATTTAAGGGTGGGAGATGGAGCATTAGCCACCATCAGCTGGCCTCTTCTGCGGTTCCTGCGCCGTCGAGGTCCTAAGATTATTATTATTTATTTTTTTATTAAGTGCACCTCAAGTTTGTTCTGTATACAAGGATGTCCTTTCTGATTTTCAAGTCTACTGGAAACTTGCATGTTTAATACCTTGTCTTTTTCTAGCAGGTGGCCTGGTTTCAGCATTTTGCTGCTGACTGTCCTGAGAAGTGGATCCACTTGGGTCTGATTGCACTGCAAAGACACCCACAACAGCTACACTTAGTTTTAAGTGCATGTAGCTGCCTAGAAAAATACCCCATTTTTTTCCCCCCAAAACATACATACTCCTCCACAGTTAATCAACCTGTTTCACATAGGGAAACATCACAGTAGTTTAACAGCATTTCCTTCTCATTGCTGCAACATTGTTTACTTACTGGTGGCTTCAGTGACCCTTGTGGTTTGAATATTTGTTCCTCTCGTCCCCTTGGGCTGCCTCCTATTCCGCTGCTGCTGCTGCCCTTGTTCTTCTTGTTGCTCCTGCTGGTGGGATCCACTCGCACCTCTCCTCTGCCTAAATGTCTTTACACTGACGGTTTGAACAGCCTTTTCCACCATGGGACCTCTTTGAGCAAGTAAGCCTTGAAGTAAAGGCCCTGGGTGAAGGATACAAAGTGTGTAGTATAGAAAGAACCCATTTAAAATTAGTTTTTTTTTAAGTCACTTAACTTGTTAGAAACTTGCTGTCATTGATTTACCAAGGCCGAGAGCTGCAACATACTGCTGATTAAGCAGAGAGCTAGCAGCAACCTGGTTGTAGGCAGGCATCCTTAAGGGGCTGAGTGATCCAACGGTAGATTGGATGCTTGAAGCGCCTGAACTGGAGGTCTGGATAAACCAAATATGTTAATGTTTAAACACACATATAAATACTTAGTCTGTTTTTAGAAGGAGGGTGTAACCAAGCAGTTTTTGTACACCTGTATTATTGCAGGATCCTGAGGCAGGCCATGGTGATACCTTGGAGGTTCACCCAGTGTAATATCCTTAATATCGCTTCCCCGGAAAGTAATGTACTCATAGACATCATCTTTGGGTGACATTGGCCTATCTGTTGTCCGTCCCTCAGTTCCAAAACACTTGACTAGTGAAAAGAAAAACAATGGATAAAGTTAGGAAAGTTCCACCCATATTTCACTTGCCCAGTTTCTTTCCAATTCAGTTAAACGGACTAGATGTTACAGTCCCTGATAATGCATTGCTTTAGATGGAGAGACTCTTGAGGGATGGCTGTTATGAGCAAAGGCAGCCCAGAAACTTTGCCAGCAGCTAAGATTAAATGACAATAACTAAAAAAGGTGAAAAAATTTTAAAAAGCAAGTTTTTGAAACGCTGACAGATTTTCAAGAACACTGATAGCCAAATAACTCACCTCCTGCCAGAACTACTGTGCTGTTCGCTGCATCAATAGTATACAAAATCCCTTCATAACGATTTTGGGCTTTTGAGAGGAGTGATACTTTACAGCCAATGTATGGCTTCGAAGCCATGGCTCGAGAATATCCGGGGCCGTTGCTATAAACTTCTATAAAGACTCATCAAGCGGCACATTTCGAGTCCTAGTAAAACCGGAAACAATTTATAGGCGTACACAGCTGACCTGATTGAAGCACCTGGCAATCATTGATGGCAACAAAATGAATGCCAATCACCACGGCTTGATTTAACTCACTTGCGACCTATTCGTTTGAAATTTTTCGTAATCTATGATTTGTTACGAATTCGATCAATAATTACGATTGTGCTTATGGTACATATTTTTTTAATAAAAAAAATTTTAGATCATTTTTATAAGTTGCAACAAAAATCACAGTCATGGCGTTAAAATGCTGAGTCCTGTGATGCACAAACAACCGTGCAAACTGGCTGCCCAAGTGCTGATCTGCACTCTCAAAAGTTTACTATCCAGGTAGTATCACATCACTACTGTCTGTGAGCACTAGGCGGTTACTGCGGGTGTCCTGGAAAAATAGCATCAACGCAGCCATTTTGGATTGTTCAGAGAGTAAAATAGTGTAATGCAAACATATTTGAAATCATGTGATAGTGCATGAGAACTATCTGACAGTTTCCTCGATGTGCTAATGCTCCACAAGGAAAAGCTCTGTGAGCGGTGTCGCTTATTTCCAGCGAAATAGTCCGACTGCGGTGGCACTTTACACTGCAGCTCGCAAACGTTTGTTCCAGGTTTTATTTTTATCCAACAGCCAATCATGAGGCGAGTTAAGGTCGCGTCACGGAGGACGCATCCAATCGGCGCATGCGTCTCACGAACGAGCGTAGTTGGGAAAAGATGGCGGCGGGCTCCGATTTGCTGGGCGATGTTTTCTTGAGCACAGAGGTGGACGAAAAAGTAGTTAGTGACCTAGTTGGATCCCTGGAGTCTGAACTAACAGAAGCAAGGCGCGATAACACAACCGCTAGGGCCCCGTCTGCAGAAAATCATGGCGGAAACTCAGCTGTAGGTAGTAGTTTAAATGTTCAGGGTAGCAAAATGGGACTTTCACAACAAGAGCTTGCTAAAGCAGGTAAGATAGCTGCGCACTCCGGTTAGCTAACATTAGCTAATTTTGGTCACGTTACTCAGCTGGTTATAGACAAGTGAAGCCAAATAAGCTGTGTCCCGAAACTAAAGCGTATCGGAGAGTTGCTCGACACTCCCCTTGTTTTCATGTGTTTCCGCTGCTGCAGGGACAGGAGCGCAAGGAGGTGTCAATAACAGTACGGGGTCCCTGGGTTCAAGCATGGATGGGGCAGCAGGGATCACATCGACGGCAGGACCGAGTGTGACAGCCACTCAGAGTCAGTCCAAGTCGGACGCAGCCAGCGGAGTTGTTATGGTTACACTAGATGCAACAGCTGGCGCTGGCAGACCTGGAGCGACCGATGCGCAAACTCTGAATGGAAATGCCGTGGTGATGAACTGTCAAATAACCGCAGGCGGACCCGCTGACAGCAACAACTCGCAGCCCGGTGCTGTCACACTCCTCAACAACGGACCTGTTTCTGTGAGCAAACCAAGCGCAGCAGGTCTGCCTGGAGCACCTAGTACTATTATCCGAGCTACTTTGAACGCACAAAATGTTGTGACTTCGTCTGTTATCTCGTCCCAGCCTTCTGTGAAAACTGTTCCCACAGTCACGCTGGTGAGGCCACCTATGCAAACCTCCATGAACCCTTCACCAAGTACAGGCAGTCCAACCACAGTTTTAATGTCACCGTCTGTCAGTGTTACCAGCACAACTGGCTCTCCTGCTAGCAAAACTGACTGCCCAAAAGTTATATTGCCTACTGGTGCCCACGTCGTGGCTTCAGTTGTTGCTACAGGGACGACAGCGACAGTGAGGAGTCCGACTGTTTTGCAGGGCTTGAGGACTTCAGTACCTTCAACAGTTGCTGCAACTCCTCCCGGTGGAATACGAACTATTGTTCCACAGGTGTTAGCTCCTCGACTCGCTCAGCCTCAACAAAACGCCCCAAATATCCAAAACATTCAGCTGCCTCCAGGTAATTGAGTTGTAAAGTCTGAGAGCATGTGGAAGATTGTTATTATTATTAACTTTAACGGTTTCCCGAGATGCCTTTGCAGGCAATAGATGATTTGAAACACAGTGTAGTAGCTTAGTAGCAACTTTAGAGGTGGCCAGGGTTCTGCAGCAGATTAAAAGCAGGACTCAGTGGAACTCAGCCAACACGTTCTTCAATGTAGCTGTCCATTCCAGTCTATTGATTCTTTTTAGTTTGTCTTGTCTGAGACATTACATCCTATTATAATAGCACCAGCTGGATAAAATATACAGGATATCTCTCAAGCGTTACGTGTGTTTGGATGCATGTGTTAAAATGTATTGATGCATGCTGAATAATGCATGTAAGGAAGTCCCGGAAAGTTGATTCTCTCTATCTGGATGCACTGTTTTCAGTGGGAGAAATATTTCATCACTTATCCAAGTGACTGACTGATAAAGTCACTTGAATGCATAATGAAACATTTCTCCGACTGATAATGCCACGTTCAAATGAACTGAATCAACATTCTGGGATGCATGTGTTGAGTATGCAAAGTCTTCAGGTTAGCATTTTTGTCTCAGTTGTGAACTGTTATTTCAGAGTTTTGTAAAAGTGCAGTGATTCTATTTTATGCTCAGTATAGCATAAAATAAAGAATTATTATATTAGGAAATGAACCTAAAACAAACAACATCATTTTTGACAAATACATCTATTTGCAACTTAGAATGGAAAACCCTTTGTGGCCTCTCTGTAGGATATGGTTTTTTGTTGTAGGCCACTGTATTAATGGCAGATTTCTTCCATGCAGAATTAATTGCCCCTTGGGGATAAATAAAGTCTTCTGATTCTGATTCCAGAAAAAGGTATTCCCACTTTGTAGCCTTGATGAAACATCTCTGGCCATTTATTTGGCCAGTCTTAGAATGTCTGTGTTATTATTATGTAGTAGAGTCATGTTGTCACCTCTTTGACAGACGCTGTTGACATAAGGCTGTGGTGCATAGTATTACACTGCCATACAATAAAAATAAATTGGTGGCAAGAAGACATGTTATTTTGAGCAGAAACAAGAATGTTTTTAGCTTTTTGCATGGTGGATTGTGACTTGAACTTTTTTATTTATGCTGCCATATAGACCCTGACTGATGTTTTTTTTCTGGTAATATCAATTTTTTATAAATATAAAATTCCAATAATAATAAATATGGGTATACTGGCATACATATTTAAGCATTTAAGAGTTATGTTGAGACAGGAAAATGGTGGGGTAATTGTTTATTAACTTTACTATTAGTTCTATTCACTTTGAAGATGCCGCTCATCACTGATGGCTCTGCTCTTTTGCAGAGAGTTTTGTAAAGACTGAAATGGGGCTGTTCTTCTGTATAAACTATTCCTTTATTGCCCCAAGTCTCTCTCTCCTGCATTATGCTCCTAAAAAAATTAATGTTTTAATATTGTCACATATATCAGTCAGACTCTGCTAACATGCTTGTGGCTCATTTTGGTTTGACAAGTTGCTGAGTGGCTTAGGACTAAATAGGGCTCACTATTGATGCATACATCCATGCATACATCCTTTTTTTGGTGACTCATTGGGACAGGAAGATAATGACCTTTTAATATTTTAACTCCTTGGATATTTGCCACGTACAGGAATGGTCTTGGTTCGCAGTGAGAGTGGGCAACTGCTGATGATTCCCCAGCAGGCTTTGGCTCAGATGCAAGCTCAGTCGCAGTCACAAAGCGCCATGACTCCACGACCTCCAGCTCCCACAAGCACTCCACCTGTCCAGATCACATCCCTACAGGTACAGATCTGCTAGATACAGTAAAACACAGAAAATATGACTCAGTTACCTGTACAGTTCTGTAAAACTTCTGTAACAGTTGGTTCTCAGACTTTTTCACAGAACCCCAAAAAGGTAATTCCTCCTAATTCACATTTGATTTATTAGTCGTTAACAGTAAAAGAGTACAAGTGAATTTCTACTGAAATAAAGTTCAGTCTGGCAAAACCAGTAAACTCTTGTTTATATTCCCAACATCAGTTATATTAATTCAAATTAGTTGTCTTTTATTGATTTTTTTTCTTCTTCTCTGGTCATCCACATCCCGTCTACAGTGACTCATAGACATATTCAATGCTGTCTATACCAGTAACATTAACATATCCTTTTAAAGGCTACATATACATAAATATGTTCCTTTTTGTCTGGTTTTCACAGTGATAACTTATGCTAAACACATAACCTGGTTGGAAGCAGGCTGTGCTCAGGGTTTTTAATTTAAAGACACCTGTAAATTGTCACATTTTCACTGAATTTTCACTAAAGTGATTTAGTGATTCCCCTTATCAGGCTTTCGGACAGTACCATTTAATGTTTAAATGTGTCCAGTTGAAAGTTTCAGAGCGCTAACATGCGGCCGTCATTTTAGAACTAAGCAGGACTGAGAGTGCACTCGGCATTAAAATGATTAACTCAAATAGAAATGTTTATTTTACACCTCAGTGCGCTAAATCCCAAGATTAATAATTTTCTGCTGCATTAATTTCCTATCTTACTTGTAATGGGGTTGCATTTTCCTTTCTTTTATATTGCATGTTAAATTTTTATGTTCTTTATAGATTTTTATCACCGTTTTATCATCATCTGATCAAAGTAGGCGGCACTCGCGATGCGTAAAATGCCCCCTTTTTTTGTGAGCGTCCACAGAGCCTGAGGCAGAAAGCCTGCGTTAACACTGGAAGTAGATAACCACTGAAGTGATACCCATTCACTTCTAGCAGGGGTTTTAGTTTTTGACATGCCAGCTAATGCAAAGAAAGCTGTGCTGAACTTCTTTCACATTACACCTCTCTTGTAACTTCAAAGTAAGGATAAACTTAATCACTATTTTACTTTCTGTTTATAATTGAGTTTTGGTTTCTGCTTCAACACAAATACTGTGCCTCTGCTTGGTAAACATTTACAAAACAAGTATTTCTGATTTAACTGATTTAACTGTTTAACTTAAAAACATAT